AGCAGGCCGATTCGATGTGGTATCCACGCAAAACCGCGCACGCGTCTGTGGCTCTGCTCGACGCGTGATGCCAGACCTTGCACTCACCGTAAAGTACGTGGGCAGACCTCGGCCAACTGCATCATCATCGCAGCTTCGGCCATAACTCAGCCACGCCTCCAAATCCCCCGATATCGCGTTGGCACTGTCAAAAAGCATGACAAGCATCTGTGGCGATGACGAAAGCCCACAGCATGTCTCGCGCCCCCGGCTTATTTGCGCCAATAGCCCGGCCCACACGAATGTGGCTCAGGCTAACTAGCGCAATAGACCGGCCGAATGATGCAGGATGCATTGCCCTGTCCGCGTGAGAGAGAGGCCGCGAACGAGCGCTGCAGTTTAAAGGCGGCGCATCCCCTCCCCGGACTGTAAGAAGGGTCCACTGTATTTCCTCCAGCCTTACATCCATCTCACTCCTGACTTTACTTTGACCTTTGCGCAACGACTTTGAACGGTGACGCGGGTTTTCCACAAGCGAGAAATTAAGATTCCGACGGCTCCTCGGCGAAAGCTTGGTTTGGGGATACGAGACTCGGTTGCGCGACTGCTGCTTGCCTGATTCACCATTACCGGCTGCCTTTGTCTTACCAACATCATCGACGAAGGAACGAGCAATTTGCGAGCGCATATCAAATTAAACACGAGCGCGACTCCTGATCCGCACTTCGCATTCTTACGAACATCTCAAAGAACGGTTTAAGTCAACATGTCGAACCAAGGCTACTACCAAGGCGGGCCTCAATACCCACAACAAAGGTACGCTTCCTACAACCGTCTACAAGGACTGGCGATACCGCGCAAAGCCGCGCGTACACCCAATCTCCCCTGCGATCGCAAAACACATCTACATAATCAAAGAGCGAACAAGTGTTAACATCATCACAGCTACGGTCCCCCAGGCGGCGGCTACGGCCAACCCCAACAATACGGCGCTCCTCCACCACAACAGCAGATGTACTACGGTCCCCCGCAAGGACAATACCAACAAGCACCCCCACCAAAGCAGAAGAAGGACAGAGGATGCTTGGCGGCTTGGTAAGTGGGCATGACATACTCAAGGGTCGAATTGTTGGCTAACGAAAGACTAGTCTGGCGACACTGTGCTGTTGTTTCGTGTGCGAAGAAGGTTGCGAGTGCTGTGCTGATTGCTGCGAGTGTGCGGCGGAGTGCTGTTAGACGGATAATGGTGGGTGGCTGGATGGGCCAGACGGGGTGTTGGTCGGCACTGGTATGGAGTTGAAGATGCGCATGGGGAATGCGCGATTGGGTTGTGACGGCGTGTGTATGAACTCTTGCCGGTTTCCTTTTGTTTTTGAGTATACCTGACCACTTCTGGTCTTTCTTATGACATTCAATGTATGGCTTGTCTGCTCTCTTGAGGCAGGTCCAATTCGAGCCCGTTTTCTTGATGTACGGTGACAGAACCTGTTCGCGTCCATGTCCTTTGATGAAATTACTTGGCACGATCAGAGGCGAGTTCATGATAATGTCAGTTGCACGTCTTTCGCCCGGACGTAGTCATATGGAACCCCAGATCTTACTGATGGTTGAGGTTCGGCGAATCATTTGGGACAGCGCAGGCACCATTTGTGTTGAAGATTTTAATTCCTCGTAGCCACTCCTCCCTCCTCAAAGCCCCGACATCTTGTTCTACCCTCTTCACCACTTGACAACCTTTCTCGCGATCTATAGCCAGGGACTCACTCTGCGCGAAGATTTGCGCCCTCAACGAAAACAACGAGATCGGACCGTATTAGATTAGGTGAACGCCCAAAAGAAACAGACGCTGGAACAAACGCTGGAAGAAAAAGCTGCAACAGATGCTGATAAATGGAAGAAGATACTTACCCATTCGGTTTTCTCATTCCGTCTGACTGCAGTCGTACCTTGATGGTCGTCTCTTTTCGAATGGGTGTTTGGCACCAGGGACCTGAGCGCAAAATGGTCAGATGAACCATGCGCCTCCAAATGCCAAACCGGTGTGGTTGATATGCAAGCTCTGCAGGGCATTGGTCGTGAAAGATCGTGTGCACTAAATGCAGGTCTACCTAGTCAGTGTATATCTCGTAGGAAGTTTATCGAAGGACACTTACCGCAAAGTGTCGTGGATAGGCTCCTAGCAAAGACCTCGTTCTCTTACATCCCAAACCAACTCTTGAACAGCGGCTGGCTGCACACGAAGCCGCCACAATACACCGAACGTCCTCAATAGTGCAGATACACCAAAGAGTTGGCGGTCCCACTGTACCAGTCGACCTCAATCGCATCACCCTCCTTCTTCTTGACTTGGTCGACGAACCTCTGCTTAACGTCGTCGAGCGGCTCCCTGGTAGGTACTGCCTGAAACCAGGTGCTAGGGACTATACGTTGGCTCATCTCCGCCATCTTGGTGTGCAGATTCACTCTCACAATACCCGGGAACGTCTGTCGGAGCAATTTGCGGAAACCGTCCTTGTAGAGGCTGTAGTACCCAAATGGCATATCCACTGAGACAATGAGACGTCGCTGGCCGAGTGGGCGGCCTAGAATCCATCGGTCGCAGGTGTCCAGATTATCGAATCCGAAGTTGTTCAAGCTGTAGACCATTGCCGATGATTCAACATACATTTGGCGGCATACTTTTGGGACCGCAAAAGTGGGTGCGACGAAGCTGGACGAGGTATTCGGGCCTTTAGTCAAAGGGTGCGTAACATGCGTGAGCCTGATATCCCATCGCCGAACGCATGAGTAATCATGGATGTCGACTTGATGATAGCCAACGGCATACTGCCAGATCTTGTTGCGGATTTCTGCCGGAAGACTGAGAAGCGGAGACTGGATGGAGTTGGCTTTGGCGCTGTTGTGCGTCAGCTTTCATAGAAGGTATATCGTGGAGTCGCATCTACATCTTCATCAATTCCGAGCGAGCAGGAGTCTCGGCTTTCATCAACCCGTTCATGTACCTGCGACCAGGTTGTTTGGGTTTGCGGACTGTGGGAGCTTTCTTCTTGACGACCTTTGATCGTTTCGAGGAAATCGGGTGATCTTTCGGCGCCGCAGAGCGAGCGGGCAGTTCGGGAGAGCCCATACTTGAAGCTATGTGGTCTTGTTGGGTGTAAAGAGAGTGTGTGGTTGAAGGAGAGCAGACTCAAGAGAGCTTGATAACTGCAAAACCGGAGATGTCCGCATGCTGGGCGATGAAATGAACGATGAAAGATGAGATATGTGCGAAGATTGGTCGAGATGAATTATCTGCTTTGAGACTGGTGAAGCCCATACGCCGACCATTATGAAAAGTGATGGTGAGAGGAGCGAAGGCTGCCGGCGCGGGTAAGTAACGCTTATCTAGGAACCTCACGGCAACTCGAAGGTATCTGGCACGGTTATTGCCGGTGACACAACTACCTAATTTTACATTGGGGAATAATACGAGTCATGTTGCGTGCGTATAGTGTCGCCCTCCTCATCTGCGACCTGTGAATGTAACGGACACCAGGACTCTTCGCGCTAAGGTCAGTGGGAGACAGTTCATCCACCGTGCCATGAAACCCTTTGCAATAAAGCTCTAGGTTACCTAAGCGGGATATTATACAAGGCTTGAAATTGGAGAACCATGATTGACGGGTTGGAAAGACTTAAGTAGAGGCATCTTCAGATGTAGTCTAGCCGTTTTGTATCAAGATGACGTCAGAGAACTTACTTTCCCTCACCTCCGCACCTGGGCAGAATCTGGCTATGTCCCTAGAGCATAGTAACGACAAATCCGTTGTGCTGTAGACCCTTCTAATCTGTAAACCCCTTTCGTCAGTCATCGCCGTATCGAATTCTCTCAGACCTCCTGGAGGATATTTGATCCAGGCGGACCGAGGTTTGTGTACTCAGTAACGACAATCTTCAGGCCACTCCTCTCCCTTTGCAACAGTACTTTAGTCCTCTGCTGAACGTCCCGCTCAATATGGTCGGCCGACCAGCCACTCATTTCGCTGGACATCCGGGCATTCCATAGGTCAACGTAAAGCACTTCAAGGTGTGGGAATAGGTCCGTGAATCTGCAGGACGACTGCTCGAAGTATGCACGTTCAGAAAATATTGGAGTCTTTAGTACCTTGATTTGCCGTAACTGTATGGGGAGGCGGCTTGATGTCCAGATTCTCAGGGCGCTCATTGACGTGAAGCCGAAGGAGTTCAGGGCGTATGGTAACAAACAAGTCTCGTCATACATCTGTCTGCAGACAAGCGAGAGTAACGGGTAAGATCCCGCTTTCTTATCTTTTACAAGCGCCTTGTTCAGTCCCCCGTAGCAGATTTTCGTTCTCAAGATGATGTCCGCAGTCAGGCAGTGAACAACAAGATCGCGTATCTGCAGACATGGCTTCTGCAGAACCATGGTGAAGACAATGTTTCGCAGTTCTGCCGGCAAACGAAGGAGTGGCGACGCGCTCCTGTTTCTCGCAGCACTTCTATGAGTTAGTTTGTGTCACCGCGGGTGCATCGTTCGTAGCTCACATAGGGCAGACAGCCAATTTGCTTGTGTTGAGGAGACCATGTTCTGTGAGACCCAGCCGTACACGGCTCTCAACTGTGTCGCCCTCTTTACAAGGACGCATGACGGGCGGGTTTCGACTCATAAGGGGCGTGGTTGTGTCGGAAAACGGGAGAGGGGTGTAGAAGCTCCGCAAAAAGGGTACGCCGGACGCAGAGAGTGCTACGGGATTAGGCGAGTAGGAAGCGACCCATCGATGTAAGTGTGCGGAAGGTACGCTAAGGACACGCTAGGCCTTCACACTCTGATGCGCTTCCTCCGCCTGCTCGATGGCTGCTGCCTTAGTAAAACCCAAAGCACGTGCGAGGGATCAAGTCAACCGATGACCCACACTGGTTGACTACCTAGGTACACTTATCTTGAGCTGAGGGTCTGCTCAAGCCTTTACTCGCTCTTTCCCACACTCAACACGTCAGCGAGACAAATCCCCAACATCACCATGGTTCGCCGCTCTGTTCGCCTTGCGAAACCCGAAGACCGACCCCAGGTGCAAGCTTTCCATGACCTAGATACCGCCGCGGTCAGCGCCAAAAGCCAGAAACTCGAAGAAGCCACGCGTGCGCGAAAGAGGCAGCGAGTAGAGCATGGCGAATCCACCTCTTCGGCGGATACCATGATCAAGGACGCTATGGCTAGGTCGGATAATCTCCGAGACGGACATGAGCCCACCCTCTATCGGGGAAGTCAGCTCAACGCACAACTCTCGAAAGATGATCCGCGCAATGAGATGTATGCATCCAATTCAATAAGCGCTCCTTTTCAGCTAACGATATCGCAGTGTGGAGCGTAATAGCTTGCAGTCTCCTTTGCTATCTCTCCCAGCAGAAGTCCGTTGCATCATCTTCGAATACGCTCTTGGCCACCAGCATGTACACATCCTCACTGACGACTACGACCCGGACGTTTCTGTTGATCTCCCCGGGCCAGCTCGTTTCGGCGCAGAGCTACGTGCTACCAGCCAGACGGTGTCTAGTGCGCGAGCGCGACGGTTCCATAACTGTGTGTTCCCAATCGACTGGCAGTCTAGTTATCGTTTCCGGCAGTACAAATCGCGCCCATACACTCGAGGCCCTCCTTGGATCCTGAGAGACGAGGCCGAACGTGTTATCACCGCGACCAAGGATCGCATGACTCTGTTACAGGTTGTTTGTCGCCAAATTTATCACGAGACTCGCTTTATCCCGTATGAGTTGAACGAGTTCTCTTTCCAGGACGAGATGACAATGAAGGATTGGTTCCGCGAGCGAGCGGCTGCTCAGAAACGGGCTATCAATACGATGTGGTTCGATCACGAATGGGAGCGCAGTCACACGGTCGTGCCTGTAAGTGGATCTCATCACAGAGGCGCCCGTGCCTACATTGGAAGAAGTCATGGTATTCAGAAGGTCTATGTCTCTGTGGGGGCAGTCCAGCATAGATGGGTCACAGAACGTGCTGAGTATAGAGACTATTGTCTGGGCGTTGTCAAAGGAAGGGTTTATTCCCTACTGAGTAGGAAAGAAGGCGAAACTGAGGTAGAGATCGTCAAGTAAATTGGTGTAGTGTGGCATGGTCATGTGTGCTTTCATTGTACGCACCTCATCTACATGCTTGGCACAATATGGGTATGCATGATAGTAATCTAAATGCATCTCGCCTGTGCATCCTCAGTTGCCGAAAACACTATAAACATCTTAGTGCACCTTGAGGGAACGACGCGTGATCAGAGTAATTTTATATATATATCGTTCGGGTTGCCACAATGCTCTGGGTGGTTATTCACGAAATAACTGCTCGACGGGAAAGCCCAACATGCATCTCCTACTGGCCCTCTCCGCCCTCGCTGCGACGGCGCAAGCTCATTGCAAGTTCACTACAGTGTGACCAGAATTGTTGAGCTGACTCCTAGAAGACCGCTTCTCCAAGCTCATCCTGAACGGTGTGCCCGAATCGGCGGAATGGACTTCAATCCGACAAACGAAGAACTACCAAACCAACTCGGGTGTCACTTCTGTCACTAGCTCCGACATGCGCTGTTTCCAGAACCGTCCTGGAACGGGTACCGCAGTTGTCGCTGCTGGTGATAACCTCGGCTTCGTTGCAGAGACATCGATCACCCACTTCGGACCAGTGCAGTTCTATATGGCGAAAGTACCAGATAGTGCGAATATTAACACTTGGGAGCCGACAGGTAACGTTTGGTTCAAAGCGGCGAGTATAAGCGCAGTGGGAAGTCCGTTGACAAGTGGAGAGAGCACATGGCCTGCGTATGGTACGTCTTCATACCCCCTCCTTATGGCCTCCTTCCGCCTTCGGTTGCTAACGCTAGGGTAGGGAAGTCGCAAGTACAATTCCAGATCCCTAAGAACGTGCCGAGTGGGAAGTACCTTGTTCGTGTAGAGTCCATCGCCCTCCACCAAGCTCAGTCAGTCGGCGGCGCGCAGATGTATCTTTCTTGTGCGCAAATCGAAATTACCGGCGGTGGTAATGGACAGCCTGGGCCTCTAGTTGCGTTCCCTGGAGCATACAATGCAAACGATCCTGGCCTGAGGTGGTCGTACTATCCGATCGCTACGAGCTACACTGCGCCTGGACCTGCTGTGTGGAAAGGCAACTGAGTTGCTCCGGAACTGGTAGAAACGATGGGTTGCGCTGGCGATGTCGATGCGGAAGGTGTGAGAACATGTGCCGTGAGGCCCTTCCTTCCTCCATGAGTGGCATTATGCCTGAATCTCTTCTTTTCCCGAGCCTTTGAGATTGTACTCTTTTCATACCAGATATCGCTCCTGCCTCCGCTTCTCCGCCTCCTCTTTCTTAGCCAGTACAAAGGCAACCTCCGACCCAATAGCAACTACAACTGTTGCTGCAATGCCAATACCAGTTCCAATAGCCGCAAAGCCCAGAATGGTAAAACACGTGAACCCTGTGAAGATGGTGAGGTACATGACACGAAAGAAAAGTAGAAAGAGGCCGTCAGGTCTGCGCTTCATCGCGTGCGAGTGAGACGATGTTCCAATGCCTCAGGCGTTCAAGATATGATACCTCTGAGGTGCTGCTATTTTTGATCGTCTCGAGGCTGGGCTTCCGTTTTGGGATACGAGGTGATGTTTGATGCTGATCTTAGCTGGGCAGCACGGCCATTGAATTGTGGGGATGCGATTCCGCGCCAACCGAGCGATTGTGTACACGAAGGGAATAGCATCGTACCACAACGATCAAGTTGCTGATAACGCCTTATGACGAGGTGAAGCGCGGTCATCGCGGGGGCGTCCAAGCCACGTGACATGGCGTTCAGCTTGCAGTGGGCCGCGTCAGCTTGTCGACAATTGGCCCACGAGGACGTGTCCTCATGCCAATACTAGGCTGGATGAGCGTGCCATCCTACTACCTATCTGTTTATAGCACTGGCTATGCAGGCGAGGGACCCGTTTAGGAAGAATAGACATGACGAAAAGACCCCTGAGAATTTTAGACCGGCCATGGACAGTGAGGGCACAATGCGTTGAACAGTGCGAATCGAATCGGAAATGACGTTTCAATGCTTGCGGCATGAAAATGGAGAGGCTTAGTTGCTCACAGACAACTGTTCGTAGATGTCGGTTCACTGGAAGACATTGCGGCGGGCACGAGCGCGTTCGCTGACGTAATCGCTCTCCGAATCCGCCAGCAACCTTAGCAGGTAGGCAGGCTGGAGGGCGCATGCACTAGAAGAATGTGCCAGATGCATGGCCATAGGTACGACGAGTGCTATGGCTAGTGGGATACACGAGGAACTCCCTGACTGCAAGAAGATGCCGTAATTGAACAGCCGGCACATTCCAGATCGCGTCTCCGCACGTGTCGACGCGTTTGTCTTGGCGCGCGTTGAGCCGTTCGGTCGCCACTGGTTCACTCGCACATTGCACAGCACACGAGCACCACAACCCTACTCAGCCATGCTCAATTACTTCTTCAATGTTTAGAAATCCTCGAGAAAACCGCTCTTTGCCCGAATCGTCCCGATTAACACCCTCTACCGGCCGGGCTCCATCGCCACCCCGCTCATCGTCCCGAGTCGCAGACATGGCCGCCAAAACCGCAACGAAGAAGGCTGCGCCCAAGCCGAGCACGAAAGCGCCCCCGCCGAAGAAAACCAGCGTTCAGACCACTTTGACGCCAGCCGATTTTGCTAAGAAGTCACCCGCTGGCAATGGCAAGAAGCAGAAGCCGGCTGGCACACCCAACGGCAACATCATGGCATTCTTCAAGAAAGCCGAGGAGATCAACAGCCGTATATTCCTACAAGAACGAGGGTCAAACCCAACGATAGTGCTCGACGGCGACGAGGACGACGTGGGCTGGAGTGATGAGAAGAGCAATGGCGTCATGACTACAGACAATAGCGAAGAGCGGTACAACGAGAATGGTGGGAGCAACAAGAGGCGCAAAGTCAGCGAAGAAGCGGTAGCGCCTGTGCCAGCCTGTTCACCACCCCCACCGGCTGATGTTGAGAGCAATGCTTTGGATGCATTGGCGGCCGACGTTTCCAAGCAAACACCAAAACTGCGGAAGAAGTCTGGACCCTTCGTGGACGACTCAGAATCCGAAGACGACGAAGTGGAAATGCCTGCTACAACTCCAGGTATGACAATACGAAGCCATAATGAGGAATCGCCAATGACTAAACCAACGGAGGATCTGTTACCCCCGGATAGTGCCGAACACTCCATTCCCCACGACACGACACCCATTAAATCTGAATCTACATCTCAACACGGGGGCGAAGAGCAGGAAGAATACGAAGATCTGGAAGACGATGATTTGCTTGAAGGCGAAGAATATGATGAGAGGCGGTGGATGAAGGAACAACAGAAGCTCGAGATGGAAGAGGCAGGCTTTGAGGGCGACCCGGACGATTTCGACGCGCCACCTCTGTTTCCTGAAGGCGATGATACCGAGATCAAACAGGAGGAGCCATGTACCAATGATATACCTTCCTGTCCGATATGCGGCAACAATCTCCCAGGCCTGTCAGAACAAGATGTATCCGTACACGTCAACGCGTGCCTAGATGGCAACCCACTTCCCTTACCTGTAGTGAAGTCCGAGGATGAGAGCAAGGCGACCATGACGAGCAAAGCGAAGGTCTTCAAAAAGCCAGACAGGCCAGCGAAACCTGGTCAGGCCAACCCATTTCAGCTTGCGAAGCCCAGTGCTCAGCCAAGTTCAGCCTTTTCAAAGCTCATGGCCGGCCATGCTGAGGATGCTGCTTGGGCATCAGCTGCGGCTGAGAACAACAAATCTCGCGGCAAGCCCGCATACCAACGCACCTGCCCGTTCTACAAGATCATGCCTGGCTTGTTCATCGCTGTCGACGCGTTTCGCTACGGAGCTGTAAAAGGTCAGAACGCCTACTTCCTGAGTCATTTCCACAGCGATCATTACATCGGACTTACTTCCTCATGGAAGCATGGACCGATATACTGTAGCAAAGTCACTGGCAACTTGGTACGACAACAGCTTCGTGTGGACCCCAAGTGGGTGGTCGATCTGGATTTTGAGAAAAAGACAGAAGTACCAGGAACGGAAGGCGTCCACGTCACTATGATCTCTGCGAACCATTGCCCTGGCAGCTCTCTATTCCTGTTCGAAAAGGAACTCAGCAAGGGCAAAACCCCGAAGCTACAACGAGTGCTGCACTGCGGAGATTTCCGCGCGTGTCAAGCGCACATCGAACACCCGCTATTACGCCCAGACGTCCTCGATGCTGTGAGTGGAAAGAATCGGCAGCAAAAGCTAGACGCTTGCTATCTGGACACCACCTACCTGAACCCCAAATACGCATTTCCGCCTCAGAAGCAGGTCATCCAAGCTTGCGCAGACATGTGCGTGAGCCTCAGCAAAGTCCGCGCGGACGACTCGGATGGATGGGAGCAAATGAAGCGAGACCGCGCAGGCCAAGGCATGGTCAAGTTCGTTCGGAAAGACTCTAATACCGACGCTACCGGCGAGCCTAAAAGCCCTAAACGAGGCCGACTTCTGGTTGTGGTAGGCACATACAGCATCGGGAAAGAGCGCATTTGCACTGGAATTGCGAAGGCCCTGGGAAGCAAGATCTTCGCGCCTGCCAACAAACAGCGCATCTGCAAAGCGCTTGAGGACCCTGAACTGGATGCACTACTTACGACAGATCCTCGGGCAGCTCAAGTACACATGACACCGTTGTTTGAGATCCGCGCGGAGACATTGGACGATTACCTGCGCGATTATGCCGACACTTTTACGCGCGTTGTCGGCTTTAGACCCTCGGGCTGGAACTATCGTCCACCAAAGGGTCGCTTTACCGAGTCACCCCAGGTACAAACCGTTTTGCATTCCGACAATTGGAGAAGTACCTTCTCCATGAAAGAACTCACGCCGCAAGCCGGAAGTGGAAGTCGGGCAAGCTGTTTCGGTGTGCCATACAGTGAGCATAGCAGCTTCAGAGAGCTGACTATGTTTTGCTGCGCTTTGCGCATCGACAAGATCATCCCGACAGTCAACGTGGGCAGCGCAAAGAGCAGAGAGAAGATGAAGGCCTGGTGCGACAGGTGGGCGGCAGATAAGAAAAAGAACGGGCTGTTCAAGCTGGGCGAAGACGGCGAGGGTTGGTCATAGTGAAACTTGATTGGCATGCCCATTGCAATTGTGGGCCTAAGCTACTGGTTATGGTAGCGATATTACCAACCCTGGCTTCTACGCGAATGCCACTGATACTTGAACATGATTCGGTCTCACTACATATTGATCTTGATTCCCTAGTATCTATCTACCATCATCTTCTACCACATCCCCAAGCACGCCTTCAGCATGTCGTCAATCATCCGCCTCCTTGTCATCTCCGATACTCACTCCACCTGGCCCTACACTTCAACCTGCCCCGCACCTCGATGCGACATCCTCATCCACTGTGGTGATCTCACCCAAGTCGGCGGCCTTCCTGCATACAAAAAGGCTATGCAAGACATCCGTACCGTCGATGCAGAGCTCAGACTCGTCATAGCTGGCAACCATGACCTCGATCTCGATGAAGAGTGGGTGCGCAAGAACGCTGAAGATGGCGAAGAGGAAGAAGACGTGGAGGACAGTAAGAAATGTGTCGAGTTCATGAAGTCGCACGAGAAATACGGAGTATACTACCTGGAAGAGGGTAGACATGAGTTCAAGCTGAAGGATGGGAGAAGCTTCAGTGTCTGGACGAGTCCGTATACGCCGGAGTTTAACGGGTATGCGTTTGCGTACGGAAAAGACGAAGATCGATTCAGCAACATACCCGAAGACATCGACATCTTGATGACACATGGACCGCCTTCATTCACTGACGAACTCGGCTACGGTCTCGATGTCAATGTGAAAGGAGAAAGCTGCGGATGCAAAATGCTAGGCGATGCAGTAAAGAGAGTGAAGCCAAGATTGCACTGTTTTGGGCATGTGCACGAAGGGAGAGGTGCTGTGAAGATGCAGTGGTCTGAGATAGGAAATGGGAATGAAAGAGTGAAGATACTGCCAGATGACGGGAAATCCATTTGCATCAATAAGAAAAAAGGAAAGATGAGTTCTGTGCTAGTGAACGCAGCAATATGGGGTGAAACAAAAGGCTGGACTATCGACCTCGAAATATAAAATTCCCACTGGCTTCTACCATACCCGAACAACCCCTGCCACCACAACCCACATCACGATGTATCAATCAATGGCCAGCCCCTACTCAGACAGTACCAACGCATACGAGACTCACGGACCCGCCGACCGCCTCGAGCATCTCGTACACACCTGGGGAGTCGACCTTGTTCGCCACTCCCCAATCTTCAAACTCCACAGGCGATTCGGACTTCCATGCGCAGCTCTTCTTGTATGCCTTGCCCTCATCATGTCGGTCTACGTCGACGTAACATTCGGCTACGGCGTATTCTCCTACGGCTTCTTGGGCAACAAAGCAGCCGATAATGTCATGGTTTTTCTGTTGATCGTGGTGGTCGCTTTTCTGTGGGCGATGGCTCGCATTTTCTGGGTAACGAACTCGGTGAGGGAAGTCTCGGGACTAAGGAGGCATTCGTACATGTTGGGTAGGCAGCATGTTGCGAGGGGCGATGAGAGCGCGGGTGAAGAGGTGATTGTCGTGGAGAGACAGGGCATGGCTTGATTTTCTCACGTGCTGTGCCAGATGTCACTTATACCCATGCTATTTTTCAACGGCATAGATTTTCTGTAAAATGGAATTGAGATCTTGATATAGTTCATTAACTACCTTTGCATGTGTACCAGGATATACAAGCCATCTCACCATTCACGCACCTTTCATGGAGCTACTCTGAGACATGATCAAAGTTCTTAGCAGCTTCGCTCTTCCATTGTCGTTCACTCATCGCCACCTGACTGTCCTTCAGGGTATTTGAGCCAGTATCGTTCTAGTGCAACTTTGAACGAAGGGGGGTGCAATTTGACTGTTTTCGCAAGATCTTTCGGGAACTCGTCAAGATCTAACTCTTCGGATGTGTAACCCGCTTTTTCGATGTTGATCGACTTCCAGAAGGACTCCGCCCCGTACAGATGCTCAATCTCAAGTGTCTCGACGTGAAGATTGCGCACGGACTCCAACGCGGAGCGGTATTCCCCATCTGTCGGGCTTTCGAATGATATGCACCGAGCCTGCTGCCCATAGCATTGTAGAAATGGGTACAAATTTTCGGCATTCATCTTAGTATTCCTCACAGTCAATTTGTCGAGAGCAGGCGTGTCAGAAGGCGAAGGGAGCGGGGTGATCGGCCGAGGATTGATGAATTCGCCATGTTCGCTATGATCAACCACCAACGAGCGAAGGCGAGGGAAGAGACTTCTCGTGATCGACAGTCTGGCCTATCAAGCTGTTAGCACGGATAACAAGATGTCTCAGAACCGCGTTGCCAAAGCATAGCATGTGGGAGTACATACTAGTAATAAGTTAGCAAGATATCTTGAGAGCTATTTGTGGCGTCTACTTTACCCTTTTTTCCATATGAGGAGGTCCGGAAGTAGGGGCAGTACATGTCTCTTAGAACAAGTGTTTCTACCTTTTGACTGGCTTTCGCGAAGATGGTAGAGGGGATGTTGGTGATAAACGCGTGATGTTCATCGAGATCGACGGCCAGAGTCATCGTACGAACTGTGATTTTCGACGCTTCCACGGCATGAATGAGGATTCGAAGGCCAAGATGGGCCACATCACCACGATCGCTTATATCCTCTTCTTCGCGGCAGCGTGAGATATTTCGAAACTTCTGGAATAGGTTATAATATCGCCCGGGTTGGGTACGAGGGTCGTGGTAGAAACGGATATGGTCCATGTTGTTGAAGCAGTACAAAGCCTTGGCTAAGACCTCTTGAAGGGCCCTCGTATCGGCCTCATGGCTGACACTCAGAGCAAAGTCGCTACCCGTCATTGGGGATTCGTCGTCCCTGCACTTCCAGATGCCAGGATACCAACAGCTTTCAGCCAGTTTAATCTGAATCAGGTCCGAGGATGAGTCTTGGCGTAGTTGATCCCACTCTGCCTGCTCCATCCGCATCGTATTTGCCCCATTATCGAGTGGGTACCCCGGGGGCACTTCAGCGCAGGCTATGATAAGTTTTGTAACCCAAGGAGCCAGATTCTCGCACGTAGACGCCGTGGTAAGATTGGATATACTCTGACCCGATCTCAGATCGAATATTGTTTCTCCCAGGTAAGCACCGAAAGCCTTCCAGGAACAATCACGGAAGCGACGGCTCGTAAGGCGAAATCCGAGCGAACACGCTTGCTCCTCTTCCTGGGCGTATCGATAGGCAACAGATCCACTGTCTTCGTCCTCGGTAACTGGCGGTACAGCATGCTTCGCAACTTCCAGCAGTATGCACTCTAGTAACTCGGCGGGCAGCTTCTCGATAGGCGAAGTATCTGTCAAGGGCAAAGTCGTTGGATTCATAGAGGGTATTGCGCTTGTCGTTTCGATTGTGGGGTTTAGACGGCCGAGCTTGGTTTGAGGAAATACGATCAGCAAAGGATGAATGTTAAACGTTAGGGCAGGTGCGACCTCGGGAGAAATAAGCGGGTCGACTAGGCATCCGCGCTAGGATCTGTGAGAAACCATGGGACTGAAAAAACGCGAATACCCTGGAGTCATACTTGAGGCCGAATGAGACTGCACTAAAGGGCTGATTCCAGTTGACGAAAGATCTTGGTAGGTATATGAAGAGATTAATTACTGCTCCAGAGACAAAACTCACGCGGTAGCACTAGCCGGAGCTGCCATCACATCGACCTCGACAACCGTTACCGCCGGCTCCTTCTCTTTCCTCAACTTATCTTGTATAGCCTGATAATTTCGGCTCATGGCATTCCTAGTGAACTCCTCACCCGTCACCATTGGATACTTCTTCAGTGGACCCTGGATCTTGGCATCTTTGCACGGCTGGTTGAAGAAGGCGATGCTGTAGCGCTCGCCGTAGAAGTCATCAGGCTCACATGGAGCCTTGACACGATGGAATGTCGACTTGAAGCGGTCGTCAGACCACGACATAAGGAGGTCGCCGACATTGCAGACTGTGGTGCATGAGTAAAGGTTTCACGCGACATAGCACATCAACATACCGATTGCGTTCTTGTCGGCGTCCGGCTCAACCTTGGTCCACGCATCCCCGTACCCGAACGAAGTGGATACTTCCCGCCCCGGACATATCTCAAGACCAGACTGCCCTGCTTTCTGGAACAGCAGAGTCAAGAAGTCCCAGTCGGCGTGTGCGCCCGCTCGATGATGCACCTCTCCTGTTGGATTTGGCACTTGTGGAGTCTCAAAGTAATGTAGTAATCGGCAGACAGTCTGAGATTCTGGTCGGCTGACGTCGTGAGCTTTGACGAAGTAATCTTCCTCGAAGTTCAACCCTCGCGCCAAGCACCTCATGAGCCTCTCGCTAACTGCCTGTACTCTGTGCATGAACCCCAAAGCCTCTGCTCGGAACCCCGGAAGGGTCTGATCACTCAGCCATCGACCTATCCAATGATCAGCACGGCCATACACATAAGACGAAAGAAACCAGCTCACCGTTCATTCCTTCGCCAAATTGCATTTGATAAGACTCTTTGCGGTCGACTGCACCAGTAGATGGCCGGATTTGAGCATTCTTCTCCCATCCGGCGTTGTGTTGAGGGGAGAATGGCACTTGCGATTTCACGGGATCGGGCTGATTGAAGAAACGCGCTGACTGATTGAAGATGCCGTCGACAGCGTCACGTGTTATGCCGTGGTCCACGATGCAGAAGAAGCCGTGGTTCTCTGCAGCATCGACGAGTTCCTGTGTAATCACATCGATGCGCGCGTCGAAGTCGCGGAGGGAGATTGTCGGCACAGGGCGATCAACATACTTCGTCGGTGCCATAATGAGAGTGTTGATGTTCGAGCTGATTGACGTTGGTGAATTTAATATATGACCGTGGTGGCTTGAGGGCAAACTGTACCTATTCTTATGTTCGGTCATCTTTGCTTCTACGCATGTAGTGTCGCAATGTGCGTTCAGGCGTGCCAAAGCCGACGCGGCCAGGGCGGCCGCTCACATCGGCCGTCATCACCAACACGTGTGTCGTGCTAGATAGGCACCCGCAGCCCGTGAGATGGAAGTCGCGGTCGAGATGAAGTGGGGCCGAGGCCAGATTGTGGAAAGTTCCGCGTTGTCGGCCGCACCCTGTTCATCTTCGTTCCCCACCGCATCTGCACGCCGATAGCCACCTGATAGCCAACGTGCCTTGCCAATCACTGGGAACGCGATGCTGGGAGCGACGCTCTCATTGCATTGAGATGTCCTCGATCGTGACACCTAGTTCACGACCGACACGGTCAACCTTACCATGGACGACAGCAGCACCTCAAAAGGGCCGAGACCCCGTCTGACATGTACAGAGTGCTATAGAAGGAAGATCAAATGTGATAAGAATGTGCCTTGCAGCACATGCATTCGAAGGTCAGCTCCTCCGTTTCCAAGGCAGTCTAGTATTCGCGAATTCGACAAAGACTGAGCCTGCGCGACTGTGGATTGCTTTTCCCTAGGAACCCAGTGACTGGGCTTCTTGGTACTGCGCAAGCTGCCCGAACCATCTCATGCTAAGTAAAGCAGGGGATATGCAAGCTTCTGTACGAGAGAGGACGCGGCTGCGACATCCTCAGTACCACCACCCGCCTACCAAGCTCAAGGTGCAGCGACAGCACCTGACGATTTAGTGCGCGCTCTACTCGACCGCGTAAGTCAGCTTGAGGCCAAGCTACAGGATCAATGTGATATGGTCTCGAGCGAAACAACCTTGCCTCTGGAAATCTCTGATACACCAGCGAGTTCCGTTCAGCGTGCAGCGACCATTGCACCTCTTGACAATAACGCAACGCAATCTGCGGACACTGATGATGCAGCTACCGTGCTGGAGTTTCTAGCGTGGGGCCGTAAGAAAGACATTGACTACGGGACGTCACCAGAACAGAACAGCGGGCCACGGCGACTGAGTATCAGAGATGAGGATGAAGCGGTTGCATCCAGTATCCTATATGAAACCAGTAAAGATGCACAGCTTGACGTACTTGAAGCGCTTCTTCCGAACAAGACTCACATCGTTCAGCTTGTGGAGTACCACAGTACCACCATCCTATGGTACCATGGGTCTTACTCCTCAGCGATATTCAAGGACGACCTGGATATCTTCCTTGGAGACTACGAAGGGGACGTCCGGCACCAAGGCTTGAATATGCAATGGCTTAGTTTACTGTTCGCCATCATAACAGGCAGTATCACATGTGCGCCGCCATCTGTATATCAGTCTTGGGGTTTCTCATCAGAAGAGAGGAAGGTCTTGTCACAAAGATGGTACGAAGCGACTGTGACGTGTCTCGAAACCGCGGGCTACATCGAGGCTCACACCATCTACTCTGTTCAAGCCATTGCAACGTTGACTATTTCGGCTCATATCCTTGGCAAGTCGAACAGTCAGTCGATACTGCTTGCCTCAGCTGGTCGTATTGCCCAGAGTCTTGGGTTGCACCGACTTGGACCAGAAAGCGCAGCCTCTGCCACCTCGAAGGAGCAGCTACGCCAGCGTGAAGCCGGTCGACGAGTCTTCAATCAGCTTTGCACGCAAGATTGGTTCCAGATCCCGTTCTCCGAGTCATATTCACTCAATCCTCGCTTCTTTACTACCGCAAAGCCGCTGAACTGCAATGACGACGACATGGTACCGCATCCATTGAGCATACCCACCCAAGCGAGCTATTGCAACTATCGCTATGACATTGCAGCGCTTATGCCGCAACTCCTAGATGCGATGGCAGGCTGTAACACGCTTTTCACGAAGTATGAACAGGTACTACATTACGACGAGAAGATGCGCAAACTTGCTACTGCATGCATACCTACATTCCTATCAACTAATTCGCCGGTGGCGACCGAGTGGCCTATCTATGTCGGCTGGGCTAGACGCTCGTTGGCTATATGTGCTTCACACAAGATCATCATGATACATCGGAAATTCATCGGCCTTTCTTTTACGAATTCCGCATTTTCCTTCACGCGGCGTACCTGCATTGCAGCTTCCAAGACCATATTGAAAGAAGCGCTATCGGGCAGCGATGAGCAGGGCCCGATACTATGGATCGAGCAAGCCTTCTCAGTAGCAGCGGGCATCATCCTCAGTCTCGATGCTCTTCATCGATCCGCCAGTGACAGGGAGTTCGACGAACATACCAGACTTGTTGCTGACGCAATCGGTTACTTGAGCAGATTCGAACATAGCAAGATTGCCTCGCGTGGCGTGCGGTTGCTGACGGGACTGCAGCGCGAGCTCCAGAGTGAAAACCTGAACAACAAGAAGCGGGCACGACCTGCGGACAGTCTTGGAATCTCTTCGTCATCGGGCAAGCGAGCCCGTAGATTTAACGTGGAGACCTTTATCAGCGACGTAGCCCAAGACTTGCAGGTAACAACTCCCACGTCAGCATCGACCGAAGATGTTCCTATAAGCGTGGGAGATACTTCGTGGAACTCTTTCATGAACTTGCTACCCCCGCAAACAGGATTTGGGGGGCAAAGTCTATTTGATGAATCGCTCTCATTTCAGTTCTAAGCTCATATATACTTTAACGACATGTGGTTTCGCGCACCTACATCGCTCCTTTTCCGTATGTCTGCCACTGACTTCTTTGCTTTCTGTATGATCGCCTCTTCATCAATGTGCAACAACTTGCCATTACTGACAAGCAACTGACCATCTACAAGAACGATGTCGACATCGGCACCAGAGGAATGGATCAGCACTGTGATCGGATCAATGCCACCGGAGGCCTGCTCGTTCGCATCCCAGGGAACACAAGATACGCCTTTTGGTTCAACAACGACGATATCCGCTTTCTTCCCAACCTCCAAGCTTCCAATCTCTTCTTCCAACCCTAGCGCTCTTGCGCCGTTGATCGTCGCGAACTCCAAGACGTCGTACGCGCTGAGGACCCCAGCATTTTGTCTGACGCCGCCATGTAGAATGGACGCTAGATGCATCTCCCGAAACATGTCATAGGTATTATTACACGGTGCGCCGTCGGTCCCCAGAGCTACATTTACACCGCTGGCCACCATGTCTGGTATCGGTGCCACACCAGATCCAAGCTTGAGGTTACTTGTAGGGTTATGCGAGACAGTACTTCTACTCTCGCGCAAGATATCGAAATCACCAGCGGCTGGATCCGGATGTACGCAGTGCGCGAATACCGACTTGGATCCCGTCAGCTTCGTATCTCGGCAGAACTCGAAAGGGCTGCATTGGTAATACTGTCGGTAGATGGGTAGGTCTTTAGGAGCTTCCGCGCAGTGCATAGTGAGACCGATGTCGTGTGCTCGCGCTGCTTCGCCGATCGTAGCATGGACCGCCATAGGTGAGCCTCGAGGTGTGCCCGCTGCAAACCACATGTGTATACGGTCGTCGGAAGAGCCATGATACTTCTTGTGCGCTGATAGTGCAACTTCCACAGACATTGAGTCCACGTCCCGATCTCTGGCGTCTTTCATGTTGAGATCTGAGTTTGTCTCGCCGACTTTGATCAATTTGCCCTAGCAGCTAGGTCAGCTCGTTGCATTGATCTTGCTTCGCGACACTTACCAAGCACGCACGAATGCCAGTTTCTTCCACTGCTCTGATGACGTTCTCAAGGCCGCTCCTATGCGTAAGCATAGCCTCAAGAAAACATGTCGTCCCCGTCTTCAGCATCTCCGCAATCGTCAACATTGAAGCCACATAGCCATCATCTTCGGCATAGTTGGCTTCCAATGGCCAGATGGCATCACATAACCAGTTGTGCAATGGGAGATCTTCGGCAAGTCCACGGAGCAGTGATTGCGCGAGATGGGCGTGTGTGTTAATCAAACCCGGTATGATGATCTTGTTTTTGCAGTCGACGATATCGAGATCTCTGTTATCGTACTGGTTGACATGATCGATGAGATCAGAAGTCTTTCCAAGTGCTGCGATGCGGCCGTTTTCAATAAGGATTGCGCCATCGAGTATGATTTCTCGGCTCTTGTTCACGGTGACGATGGTCGCATTCGTCAAGAGGCGCAGCCGCGTCTGACTTGATGTTGCCATTTTCCTTCGAGGTGATGCTGATACCGCTGGCTAAGATCCACGAGGATGCTATGTGCGACGTTAAAGGGGTTGGTGAAGATGTAGGTTCAAGGTTCTAGAAGACTTCATTCATCCCTCATTTCCTCAATCAGCTTGGGAAACCAGACGAGCGATTACTTCACGCAATTACTCTCAAGATCATATTTGCATGGTCGCGACTTCCCATAGGCGTGCGCTGACAGTCGCCTCCGCCGCTCTCCGCTTTCGCGCCTTCGCTAAGGTGACATGGGGCGGCCGACGCTAATGATATCTCCCCTCTTATCTGGCTCACGTACTCTGTCACCCGTCGCACATCTCATGGCATACGCACAAGTATCATCGCAGTGTTATCAGGTACAAGCAATAGCCGGATCCCGATGGGCTGGTTATCGCGGGGTTTACAAGCGCAGAAACGCCTATCGTGGAAAAGGCTCCTGCCGATCCAGAACCACGAGTCAACCATGGCTAATAGGTTGATATATAGTCATGCAGCTCGATTTTGAACTGCGTTTACCGTGAGGACTCAGTGAGCATACTGAAATTGCACTGGGTTGAGTAAGACTAATCATGGTCATCGACTCCCGGAGCGAGATGGAGCCGAAGTCCAAGTACGCTGAAGAAACGGGTCAATACTCGTCCGCCGAGAGTCAAGAGATAGGTACAGTGACCACGAAGTGGCAGGATACGCTCGCGGAGATCAAGCATGCTTTCACGACGAAAGATGGATGGATCGGCGACTACGTATGTCAAT